GTTATCACCTTCTTCTAATTCAGGAGAATAATGCAAACTAAAACTACATAATAATTCACAATCTTTAATTAGGGGTCTAACATGGCATAAAATAATATTATAATCCGACAATGGCAAGATGCTGTAAACAGACCAAACTTCAGTCAGGAGAACAACTGAGATAATGCATCCACAATACGAGGTTAGTCATTAATATACTGGAACAACACGGGAATAGAGCAGCTGTATAATAATATACAATTATTAAGTAAAAAGCTGTATAATTATAATCCAGTGTGCCTTTTGTATGAACTCTTTTTCCCCTTACTTGTGTACATGTTTATTGTTATAGGTTGGTCAACCATGAACTAACCCTGTAACAGGCAGTTTGTATTTTTACCACTGAGGGAGGGGATGGGGGGGGGGCAACAATTCTCTCTATTACAGAAACCTTCTTTTCACCTACAATTTATTACAAGAACAAGAAGCAGGCAGATCATTGATTCTGCTTCAGGTACAAAAGCTCCAAAGCTCTTCTTTAAAGACTATGAATTGCAGCTTATGGAAGATAAGTGACTCAACTTTAGCCATCAACACTTACCATCTGTTGTCTGCCTCATTTTGCCTCTGTGTTAAGTCAGCCTGTTTCAATATGTACAGCTGCAAGAACAAGCGGAGATGAATTCAGCGCAAGTGATCAACTACCTACTATGGGACAGTTCTGGCTCAAGCTCTTATCAGTTCCCAGTATTGATTAGCTTAATCTGTGTTGGAAATTAAAGTTTTGAGATTCATGCATGGGTTGAGTCTTCCATCAGCAACAGCCAGAATCTGCAACATTATACTGTCAAATGTGAGTGCTCGTCCTAAGATGTTTAGTGACTTGAATAAAAAATCATACATAATTTTAAACAAGATGAATCTTGGCATGTGTTTATATTCTTCTGTTCTTCGTATTAATAGTGAATAATTGCAGTTAAGTCTTGAGATATTTTTTTTTATGAATAAGAGAGCATAAAGGCCTCCGGATATGCTGCCTTTATTAGAACTCAAACTCTGTCTAAGAGGATAAACTGGTTTTTGTAGAAGCAAAGCTAGCATTATGTAAAAGCGGAAATGATATGGTTTGGAGAATGTTCAGCAGTACCAAGAAAAACCAGGTGAAAACCCACTGGTTTTCTCCCAAGTACACCTGTTCTTTATTGGAATGTTATTTCCTTCTGCCAAGTAAGAGCAGCTCAGTGGAGAAGCAATGTGGAGCCACTTATTTTATTTTTTATTTGTCAGTGTTTATATTTCTACTATACTTCCATTTATTTCAACCTACAAAACCATTTGACAAAAGCCAGAGCTGCCATACACACACACACACACACACACACACACACACACACACACACACACACACACACACGAAACACTGGTTGGGCAGGATCTGAAAAGAGACAGTAAGATACTGAACCCCAGCACAACGCTTTGTGTATTTAACAAGTGAGCAAACAACAAATTGCAGTCTACAGCTAATTGCTGAACATTATGATAACCATATGAGTTTTTTTTTCAAGAGCTAACAAAGTTACATACAGTCAGGTTTGTAATGTCCAGTATTTGGACAGTGAGATACTTTTTAAAAATTGTTATAAAAACAATAGTTGTAAAGATCACTGTGGGTTTTCAAATCAAACACTTGAGATGTGGTTAAAGTGCTGGCTGAAAAGATGAAAGCTATGTTTTATTATATTAATCAATTATTGTGGAAAGTAGGAATCACAGTGATTTAGTGGTCATTAAAATCTGTGCACAATTTAGAAACTGATGATGATTCACCCCGCATAGGTTCCAGCAATACTGGCCCTGTATTTACTTGGTATCAGACCAATACCAGAATTTGCGGTCTACACAGCAGTAGAGCCAGATATATATTCTTTATTCAAATACTTTTATCTCTAGTGGTGAGTTCAGACTTAAAATAATAGTGGCCTTAGTTGGTTTGTTTTTTAGGACTGTTGTACAGTTTACAGAGATGGACTATGTTGCCCTGGGACTGTGGGTGAATGAGATTTGTGGTAAAAAAAAAAAAGTGTTTTGAGTGCTCAACTGAGCAGAACAGTGTTATAGAAGTAATAGTCCATTCATAATTGAACCGTGACTCATTTTTCCCCTGGTGCACTGCTATGCTGGAATTTATGGTTCCTCCACCTTCTAAATCTCATGTTAATCCCTGCTAGATGCCCCAGTAGCAACACTGTTGTACTTTGTACAGTACTGTTGTACAATAAGGTACTTTATTTTCTAAGTGTAGCTTAGCCTAAATTTAGTAACCACAGTGAGTGGGTCTATTTGCATTTAACACTTTGCTCAATAAATTGTATTTATCTTAGTTTAAGTGGTTCAAGTACTTCTACTTGACTCTTCCCCTCCTCCTGTTCTGCCCAGCAACATTTATGTGATTTGTTTAACAATGAGGAAGTTGTCTTGTATCACCGTCAACTTTGATACTAAAGGCGAGAGAAACAAGGCAGAACACAGAGAAGTACAGACTGAATATGTTCCTTAAAATTATAATAATTTTGTCTACAGCAGCCTGCGTCGAGGCTGAACGTAAGTATCGCTATTTCCCATTACTGGATCATCTATAAACTTTTATCTTGTTAGATTTATTTATGATTTATTTGTTTGTAATTTAGAGTATTTTAACACTGTGTTTTTAACTGCGTTGTCACTTGATCCTAGGAAGTCATACACTTTATTACACCTATGGATGTTTTGACTCCAGTGATACTCAAATCTGTGCAGCATTCGATGGTGATGAAGTAGGGTATGCAGACTTTAAAAAAGATCAGCTGATTTGGGAGACCAGAATTCCCATAAGTTTTCGTTTTCCGTACGCTTACAAATATGCAGTACATTTTCGGAGTATGTGCAAAAGGGACTTCTCCATGTGGAAGCCAGACGAGTCCGTAATAAAGAAAAAAGGTCAGTGAAACTCAAACTGTTATGTTTCCTGTTCAGTTTTCATTGTTTATGCTGCAAGTTTTTAGATCTTTTTTTTAAGCCAGAAAGTTGAATTTAAGCAAATCATGTGTTCATTTAATTTAGAACCACCAGACTTCATCATCTACCCCAGAGATGAAGTGATAACAGGGGAAGATAATACCCTCATCTGCTTCATCAACCACTTCTTTCCTCCTTCGATCAACATTAAGTGGACCAAGAATGATGTAGAAGTAACAGTGGAAGACCCTTTCATCAAAACTTTGTCCAATCCTGATGGGACTGCTTATGTTTTGTCCTATCTCAACTTTGTGCCAGAGAAAGGAGACATCTACAGTTGCACTGTGGAACATGAAGCACTGGACGAGCCTCAGACCAAGTTTTGGGGTGAGAACAAAAAAGCTTCAGATATTTTAACACATATAATACGGTTTAATGTTGAGAATTCATTTCTTTCTGCTGTCCTCTGCAGAGGTTGAAACAGATGAGCTCAGCAAAGGTCCAGCTGTCTTCTGTGGACTTGGCCTGAGTCTTGGATTGCTTGGAGTTTTCATAGGAACCTACTTTTTTTTAAAAGCAGGGCACTCTGGTCCCACTGGTTGAGATGTATATTTTATAGAGCTCAGATTTCATAATTCTTAGTTTGTTTCCAGCAGGCATAAGACAAACCTGAACTTTCCCATATTTTCATCACTTGTGTTAGTTTGACTGATTTGTTTTAATCACTGTAGTAAAACTTCTGTTTTCTCATTACTCATCGTGTGCAGTAAAGCTAAACAGTGATATTGGTGCGTTTCACCTTTCACACAGTCATTTTCAGTTCTGCACGTTGATGCTCAGAGTTAGTGTAGAGCTTGAAGTCTGCGTTACTGGTTTTCTTGTTTTTAGCACTAAAATACACCTTATTAATGATCAATCACTATAAAATCATAATATGTGCATTATGTCAGATTAAAGAAATACAAATGTGAAAAATTTTGATGTGCTTTGTTTCTATTTATTTTCTGAAACAAGTAAAACTAGACCAGAAAAACAAAGTACCCATAAATATATTAAACACATTATTTGTTATAGAGTCCTGAGAAGTCTACATGATTGTGCGTCAAGATACTGTACAGGCATTATGACTGACTACATCTTAATTATAAAGTAAAACTGACAACTCATCAAGTAAAAAAAATGAATAAATTGATGCCAGTTACTTTGGAAACTCACTGAAAACTCAGATACCTTTATCATCATTAGTGTATCTCTAATGCTACAGAATCTTCCTGTTAGCACTTTGTGAAAGTAATCAGAGTTTAATTGTTTGTAAGACATTAGTAATCAGTTACACAAATCATTTAGGTGTCTTGTTTTCAGGACATAATTTGAGTTTTCATTATAGAGTTCACTTTAAAAAAAATGTTTTTCACAAGAGATGCAAGAAAGGTGAAAGCATATCTTATCAGTGTTTTCTGTAGGCTGATTTGTGTAAGCTAATTTAAAATCCTAACATTCATCAAGTCGATTGCTGCTAGAGTTAGGTTAATATCTCTTTATATGACATTTTGATTTATCTGGCAAATCAAAATGATAATGAAACAAAAACTAGGAGGCCAGAATCCAAGGCAGTGTTAGATTTAATATTGCGGGACCCAGTAGAGTGGTAGGTGTAAACAGTAGAGGATGTAATAAGTGAAAGTTTCTTTATTAAAACAAAGGATAATTCATTTAACACAGATTACGAGCTTCGACTTAGTCAACAAGAGCAAAACATAAATGAACCTAGACTTAAGGGGCAAGTCCTACATGAACATCCTAACTGAGGGCAGAAAGACAGGCCAGGGCAGTGGAGATGACAGCGTGGCAGATCTGTGGGAGAGGAGAGGGCAGTTGGGGCAGGAAATCTGAGAGGAAATGTGCTAAGCAGTGTTCACAAAGTGGCTGCAACAATGCTTTACTTGGAGTCCAGACTAGCTGGGGTAATGATTAGCGGTGGGTCGAGTTCCCCGGTATCGCTTCATTAAATCCTGAATGAATTTTTAAGTATAATTGCATTTTGCCAGAAACGGCAGAATTTTAGGTTAAAGACTAAGACACAAAACTATTATAACAACAGCTTAAACAGCAAATGAGAGCAGGTAGACGGATTCCGCAACAAGATGTAAACACAAAGTGCGGATCCCCCCGTTGGCCTGATGTACATGGACATGGTGTCAGGTGCTGAAAGCATATATATGACAGATTCTAAAGCTGCAGGTTTTGTCACTCTCCAACTAAAATTCACTGAACCAGCAGGAAATAAATTCAAAACTATGCTTCACTTTTGATAAACATTGCCATGAATTCCCTCTTACCAACAATGCGGAGGGTAACAGCTGTTCCTCACAAACACCCCAGTGACTCATGAACGGAGACCTCCTATGACTTGAAATTAAGGAAAATACACTTTTTTAGCATGTCGCCGAAATGCCTGAAACTGGGTGCATGTGAAGAGGAAAACTTCTGCAATATTTGTAAAAACAGCTGGTTTAATCTGAAAAATCAAAAGACTGGAAGACAGAAAACATTCAGCAGTAACATAAGGAAACAAGATGCCAACTCATCACAACTCACCTACTCTTCGATGGAATGTTGTTTCCTTCTGTCAAATGACTTTCTTGGCTATGTGCATGACTGCTAACTTGTGAATTCAAGTATATTCTTTTTTATTTATATAGCACCAAATCACACAACAGTCACCTCAAGGCACTTTACATTGTAAGGTAAAGACCCTACAATAATAAGGAGACACAACAATCTCAGTCTGCTGTCTAATTAGTTAGACAATGCTGAGAGCTTTAAAGTAGTTTTGACCCCCAAAATGCTCCAAATTACAAACTTTAACTTGTTGCTTTTACTTTTTCTAGTGTGATTTTTCTATATAGTGTCATTTAGGATTTATACATATTTAACCTACCGTTTAAAACGTTCTTCTTTACTGTCTCAACACAAAATCCTCCCACATCTCTCTACTGTTTTTGATAGTCAAACAACAGTTGGATTATTGACATAAGTCACTTCATCTAGTATTAGTGTAGAAACAAGAACTAGCTAAACAAAGGGGCAAAGCCGTAATCATTATCAGTTATTGTCATAAATGTAATGGATAGAGGGAGTTTCCACTGAGTGTTTTGCTGATATATGAGCCTATCTGCTTTCTCTTCCTCGTTCTGGTGAACATATAAATGCCTCAGATAAAGTCTTCTTCCTGTATCACCTTACAACACACATGAAACATGTACACTCATAAGTTTATCCTGTGTGTTGCTTTCTCTCTTTTCAGTCCAGGTGAGCTGCAAAGGTCTGCTGTTTGAACAAATCAGTGAAATATTAAATTTCAATCATCATGTTTAACATCAGTACATTTCTTTCCTTGAATTTCAGTTCTCACAGATGAAGACTTTTACCAAGTAAGAGCATGCTGTACATTCAAAGGTCCACAGTCTGAAGAAACCGAATACACAGTAAGTTATTTTTTTAATAAGAACTTGATGATGGAGTACAACAGCACAAGAGGCAACTGGACGGGATTCACAGCGTATACAATTGAAGCAGCAAAATGGTGGAACAGTGATCACCTTGATCCACTAAAAAAAAGAATTGAAAGGAAACTGTTGTGTGAGGACACATTAGACCTCATCCAATCCATAGGTAAGAAAGAGATTTGTTTCTTAATAATGTTTTAAAATGTTCAATGGAGTTTTAATGATGTGAACTTTTTACATCAAATATTTTTATGATAATATTTCATGACATAAGATTATTAGATTTATTTTACTGTAAATAACAATAGTGCTTTGTTATTTTTGCTCAGTTGCATGACATTACAGTTAATTTCCAAGTATGCCATAATTGACAACATGCTCTGCTATGATGCATTACACTATGTGTATTTGAGGAATACATCTGTGAGCGGAGAGGGTGCATTAATGTATTTTTTTCATCATAAACATGAAACTTCTTTACTTTTTAGATAATCTGACAACTATACCCACCGTCAGACTAAAATCAGTGAAAAGGCCTAATGGCGAGCACGCATCTACGCTTGTGTGCAGTGCCTACAACTTTTATCCAAAACAAATCAGAATGATGTGGATGAGGAACGGCCAAGAGGTAACCACAGATGTCAGTTACTCTGACGTGATGCCTAATGGTGACTGGTACTACCAGACTCATTCCTACCTGGAGTATTTCCCTACTTCAGCAGAAAAAATTGCCTGTATGGTCGAACACCTTGGTCTCTCCGAGCCGATGTTTGTGGTCTGGGGTAAGTTTGCAGCTGTGATGCCAAGGTAGAGAGATAAAACTGAAGCCGCATAATTACGAGTTTCACTTTTATCTCACTGTTTCAGACCCCTCCCTCCCAGTGGAACAACGAACTCGGATAGCTGTTGGACTGTGTGGACTCGTGATTGGATTTGTTATTGCAATATCTGGAATCATCTACTACAATAAGAAGTCTGCTGCATACATCACTGTGTGTCAAAGTAAGGAGTTTGTTAGAAGTGTACATAACATAACATATTCTGATCTAAGACTGAAAGCCTCGGGGTGCCCAGCACTCAGTAACTTTCATGACTTTGTCTCTTTAACCTTCTGTTTTCAAGAGAATCCTAACAAAAACCTGTTCCTATTCTTACTACAGCGCATATCATTATTAATTAGATCTGTTGCCTCATCATCATCATCAATTTTTTCTATGCTGCTCTTGCTGTGTTCATAAATTGGGCCTTTTCTGTGGTTGCAACAACATTAAGTTTTGCTAACTTAGTAAATCTGACCAATAGAGTTGTTAAAATGATAAATATGCTCTTCTTTTTAACAGGACAAGTGTTCATTCCTGTGGAATCCCTTCCTGAAGCTGGAGCAACTTAACAGCCTGAGCAAACACTATTAATACAGGCACGCTCCATCCAAGGTGCCCCAAATATCACAGCTCTCTGAATAATGATGTCTGTTGTGAGTGACTGGGGCTTTGCATTTTTTACCTACGGGACAGAGGATACATTTGTAATGTAGTTAATACTCTTATACAGTATAGTAATATAATTTTATAGAAAAATGATTACACTGTATCTACTGGCATTAACCCTCATTAAGCAGTAAACCCTGTGAGTTAACCAGTGGTGAAAGTGGAAAAGTAGAAAAACCCTGGAATAATAGGATGGTTCAAAAGCTACCCACAGTATGCACACCCACATGGTACCTTCCTAGCAATTAAGTAAGAGAATGATTATCTCAAACTATATAGAACCAATTAACATTTTGTTTATTAATCTGAATACCCTGAAATTTTATGATTTAGTTGAATATAAAATGGCACAGATAATGTATAAAGGACAAAATAACTTGCTTTGCCGCAGTACTCAGAAGCTGTTTAAAGTCAGAGAAAGTCAATATGACTTAAGGGGAACAGGTTTCTTTAAAAAACAAACAAACAAGATAAGGACAAACATAAAGCAGAGATGTGTTTCTATTAGAGGAGTTAACTTGTGGAATAGTTATGACAGTGATTTAAAAAGGTGTAGTTCATTTTCCTTGTTTAAAAACATGTTTAAAAATAGAGTATTAGAAAAATATATAAATCAAGAATGAAAAGAGCAATAATAATAATAATAATAATACTGAAACTCTTGGTTGTTTTGCTTTGATATAGTTACTTATCTAAGGTGGAAAGTTTTTTTGTTTTGTTTTTTGTTTGTTTTTTTTGTTTTGTTGCTTTGCTTTGTTTTTTTCTTTGCTTCGAGCCCTGTGTAAAGGAGCCGCATGGGTTGAAAGGGTTGACGTAATAAGCATATGCTTCAGCCTATACCTTTTGATTAGCCTTGTCTTGTGCTTTCTTGCTTTGTGGTAATCTTTATTCTGTATTCACTGAGATATTTGAATGCTAATCAAAAAAAATCTCATCATCGAGGCATCAAACAAAGATCTACCACAGGTCCAACCGGTGGGGATACTTACCGCTATACCAACAAGGAAGGCTAATATATGAGAAGATGCAGTACCCAGAAGGTAATGCAAAGAAGCAACATTCAGCGTCTGGAGGTGTAAACAGTTGGAAACAGAGTTGAATCCGACCTGATAATAAATCCACAACGTCCATGGATCACTCTATAGATAGACAGAGAGATACTTTATTGATCCCACAACAGAAATTATTGTGTTACAGCAGGAGGATCAAAAGAATAAAGAAATACAATTTTATATAAATACAACAATGATTAAAACAAAAAATCCCCAAAGAAAATAAAAATCAGGTTAAGTTAAAGGAAACGTAAAAGTACGACTGAGAGCAATTTCAGAACAAGCAAGAAGCACTCAGAGTGCAAACCTCTGCCATGGCCTTCAATCTTTGGGCAGTATTTACTTTTAAGGGAATAGTGTCACCTAAGTGGTGAACAGTAAGAGGATAAACAAGTTTTAGTAAAAACAAAGGTAGCATTGTGTAAAACAGGAACTGATCTGTTTGGAAGATGTTCAGCAGCACTAAGAAATAAACCAGATGAAAACCCACAGGCGCTCATTTAAGCACACCTGTTCTTTGATGTTATCGCTTTCTGCCAATCACTCTGTGGCCAAGTACCTTATAAAGGCACTTAAGTTCAGCCTTACACCATTTGGCAAAGGCCTAGTGCTGTCGCTTTACACAACCTGATTGACACGCACACACATTCTGAATTCACCTCTTCAGAATGTAGTTTCCTCATTCCTCTTCAGAATGAGGAAACTACAGTTTTTTATAAACCACATGCCGAGTTGAGAGTTAGAGACATTCAGACTTCATGTGGCCTTCATATTAGCTCAAGAACAGTGCATAGAGAGCTTCAACAACAACACTCAAGACAGAGCTTATGATATCACTGCAGTCAGCCTCTCTGATACTCTAGCTGGGGTCTCTGGACTGTTCCTCTGTCTGATTTTAAAACTTGAGGCGAGGTTTGCTGTGATTCTGTGATTTTTATTCATTTATTTTGTTTTTATGATTTTATTCTGCTGAAAACACATGTTTATAGATTATCTTTCTCGCTTTCTGTTTTTTTTTTGTTTGAGTATGCAGCCATTTGCATCTCTGCAAGTATGTATGTATGTTGGAATGAATGTCTGACTGCGTGGTGAAATATGTGTAATTATCTTTAATGTGTGGCTTTTATTTAAACTGTGAATAACTGTAACTCTGTGTTTTGAAGAGTGCTATACAAATAAAGCTATTATTATTTGTGATTGTTGATAGATCCATCTGTGTTTAGAGATATTATTTCTATATCATATGTAGAGATTTTTTTGCTGGCAGTCAGATGCAAGGAGCAGACAGTCGGTGGGGCCCTCGAAGGTGGTGTTTTTCACATGTAAAAAGAATATAGTGTTCAAAGAAATTGAATGAAAACTTTTTAATCAGACTATATTGTCAAGTCGATGAAACTTCTGGAATATTGATCTGGTCAGTTAAGTAGCCAAAAAAGTTGATAATCAATTTTAGCTGCTTTGGTTTTTGTTGGAGAGTGATCCATGTGCGTATGGTGAATGAATCAGCTTGCTTGGCTGATGGTAGAGAATAGAGATGAAGTATACTAGGAACTAGGAGAAGCACAAGGAAACTACAGACTGGGATTGAACCACAAACTTTCCAGTTAGTAAGAGGCCTGCTCTACCACATGAGCTACAGGAACCTTTTGTCATTGTCATGAATGTCATGGAGAGAGTGTATTTCAACTGAGAATTTTGTTGGTGTATCATACTGTTTGCTCACTTGGCCAATTCTATCAACCATTATGAGTGATTAAAAAAGCAAGGGACTGGTGTATCCTGCCCGGAAAAGGGTTACCCGGGCTCCACCCTGGAGCCGTCCTGGGGAGGGAGCGTGGCAGAGAGCACCTGGTGGTTGGGCCTTAGTCCATGAAGCCAAGCCTTGTGCAGCCCTAACAAGCTACATGAGCCTGCCCTCATGCGGGTCCACTACCCATAGGAGGCACCGTAGGAGTTGGATTATTGTGTATTGAATGGTGGTCAAGAGTGGGGTCTTCGGTGGACCTATCCCTGCCTGTTGAGGCTGGCTGTTGGGACATGGAACCTGTGTTGAGGAAGGAGCCTGAGCTAGTGCTTGAGGTTGAGAGATAGATACTAACTAGATATGGTCGGACTTACAGTTTGGGCTCTGTCTCCTGGAGAGAAGCTGGACTAGAGTCTGGAGTTTCCCTTGGTGAGAGGACTGTAGTTTCCGCTTATGTGCTGAACGGCAGTTCAGAGTACCCGGTCTTCTTGGAATCATTTGGTGGGGTGCTCGAGGGTGCTCCATCTGATGACTCTGTTGTCTTACTGAGCTTCAAAACTTACATTGACACAGAATGATGATCTGTTCCTGAGTCACTGACAAGAAAATCCTCTCAAATGATTTGTTGCTCTCATGGTCCTACACTTTCCTAAGAATTAAAACAAGAAAAAGTTTTATCTCCCAGCAGGGAATTGAACCCTGGTGTCTCACATGCTACTCTAGTAAGCCGTGCCCCATCATGAACGTGCTGCAGTACTAAATTTAACCACAACAGTGGTTCGAGAGGCTGTTTCATTTATATACACCTTTGTGTTTCAGGTTCGACATCAGACAGCGCTCCTCTGTGGTCAGAGAGGGTATTACATCCATACTAAAAAGAGCAACCATAGATAATTTAAGGATTAAGAAATATGGGTTTGTTCAAAATCACTACCCTTTCAGCTTGTCCGTGGCCAAAAGTGTCCACCAACAGATTAAGTCTGTAATTTTTATTATTTTTATATTGTTGGTTTTTTTTTGCCATTTTTTCTGGATAAAGCTTTTAACTAACTTCAGTTCTTTTCATAAATATAATTTTATATCATTGCAGTGCTACTGGAATTTCTTGTATTATTAATAGTAGAGTCTGCGACATGCAATTGATTCACATCAACATTGATTATAATTCTTTGTTATTTTTGTGCAGGGAGAGCAAAATCATAAAAACTCCCCCTCAGCTTGTTCGTGGCCAAAAATTGCCACCCCTTGTTTATGTTTACAAAATGCTATAAAATTAATATATATTTAAGAAAATTGCACTTTCATTCAAAAAACAAAATTGCATTCAAATTCAGAATTTTAACCCTTTAAATACCAGTTAGATCAGCGGTCTCCAACATTTTTTGCGCCACGGACCGGTTTATGCCCGACAATATTTTCACGGACCGGCCTTTAAGGTGTCGCGGATAAATACAACAAAATAAAACTAGTACCGGTACCGAAAAAAAGAAGATTTATTCATAACACACGTGAAAAGACCCAGGAAAACCAAGTTAACAATAAAAACGATAACAAAATAACGCTGAAAACCGATAAAAACCCTGAAAACCATACATTTCAAACCTGAGCCTCAACTTTCGCGGCCCGGTACCGAACGACTCACGGACCGGTACCGGTCCGAGGCCCGGGGGTTGGGGACCGCTGAGTTAGATCACAGAATCCTAAGAACTCATAAATGGAAAAAAAATCAAAAAATCCCAATTTTTTTCCAAATAATACATGCCATCTGATTTATTTCCTAACCATGATAGAGGTTAGATGTATAGCAATAATTAACAGTATCAATGACTTTTATGCATCTTTGTTTTTTTGTGCAGTGACAGAAAAACAAAAAAACTCCCTCTTAGCTTGTTCGTGACCAAAAATGGCCACCCCTTGTTTACATTTACAAAATGCTATAAAATTAATATATATTAAAACATTCTTCTACTTTCATTGACTTGATTTTTTAAATTAGCACCAGTCCTAGTCACGAAAACCAAAATATAATTCAAATTCAGAAATTATACCCTTTGAATACCAGTCAGATTATGTATTATTTTTTCAGCATATGAATGATGAAACCTAATATTTTTTAATCATCATTGCAGGTATTATTATTATTATTATTATTATTATTATTGTTATTATTTTGGATGAATGGCCAAAAAGAAAATCACACATGGTGTGTTAGTAGCCAGAAAGGCAATTTAATGACCAAATAACCATTGAAATGACCACTAAAATGATCAAAATTTATAGTTCAGTGTGTATGCTCCTGTGTGCATCCTCATTAGCAGCAAGATGTGTTAACCACAGTAGTGTGGTTTTTGTGGGCACACTTTCCACACCTGGTGCAAGGGGCTGCTGTTCCAATCCTGGAGGTGCGCCTTTTGCACCTTCTTTTCATTTTGTTGGTGGCTTGTGGGTCACACTCTGGTTCAGACTACCGTATCTTGAGATCAATGGCAGAAGTTGTTGAGGTCACCAGCATGTGCCCCAGCTCTTCCAGGATCACTCTTCATTTGTGGGTTGTAGAGGAGTCTCCCACTTCAGTGAAGTTGTTTCCAGCAGGACAAAGGCATCGTATCCCAAGACATCCAGGAGATTGGAGAAAAGAGCCAGCAGCCATCAGTTAGTTTTCTTTCAACAATTCGAGGTGCCAACATCCTCTCTAAGTTATCTAAGCTGTATTTGTGCCTATTGTAGTCCAGGATTGCTTCCTCTATTCCACATCACTGACTGCTGGTTCCCTGTGTGTTGCTGTCAAAAGAAGCACATTCCTCTGTTGCTTTGGCATGTGGGATATCGCCGTGGTAGTTTTGGTAAAACCAAAGACAGACAAAATCTTCCCCTGGGTTGTTTGCCCTGTGCCAGTTTTCATCTGAGGAGTTACTCTGCCAAGGTGACCGAAGTAAAGACGTTGTCCTCGGAGCTCCTCTGTCAGTTGGAGCCTGAATCCCTTTCCCTTTTTTTTACTTCCTGAGAACTTCCAGTGTTGTCATCCAACATGCTATGTATTGCTTTATTCTGGTGTAGGCTCACATTTCCACTTCATGTATAATCCTCCAATCCTCACACCGTTGCCTCTCGTGCAGGTTTGTAAGGGTGCACAGCAGCTAAAAGATCTCCTTTGTTATAAAAAAGTCAGAAGTAGATTTCATGCTGCTAATGCAGGGAACTGCATAAAGGGTGAGCCCTGGTTTGATATCAGTGGGTACTGGATTGTAGAGCAGTCTCTCTTCAGTAGTGGGACCCACATGGTTTTCCCTTCATGAGGGATCCACTCAGTTGCCGGCTCCTCATTCTCAGAAAATGCTCCTACGTTCTTTTCCATCAGCTGCTTGGCCTCCACCTCCATGCCCCCCAACCCCAATCCTCCCCCAAAGAAGAGGATTCAGGCACTGGCTAGTACTCATCATCAGTGGTGATGCAGTCAGCCTCTTTGGAGATTGTCCCCTCATTTTCTGGAGAGGAAGTTTTTTCATCTTGGGCAGATGTCTTTTCTTCAAGGGCAGAGGACTGCTTGCTGTCCTTGCTCTCTGACCAGATCATATAGACAGTGCTTGAAGCAGTGATGACCTTCTTGCCATATTGCCTGAATAAATGATCCGGAAGCTGTTAGGCTTACTTAAAGCAGTAACACTGTCTGCACCTGCATAAACTCCAGGACATGTTTACAAACTGTGCTGTTGTCGTTTGAGCTGCAGCTGCAGCTGCAGGTTTGAACTCTGCAAAATGTCTTGTGATTGGGTTTTTTTTTGTGTGTGTGTGTTTTTTTGTTTTTTGAGAATTAATATTTTCTGTATGGCATCTTTTTATGAAAAGTACAAGAGTTAAAGTGCTTCTAGCATGTGCTTTGTTGAGAATAGATTCCTTAATATAGATCAGCGTTAAAGAGAATATAGTTTGGGATTGCTTGTAAGATTACAATATGGCATTTAATGGGTATACAAAATAGAAAATAGGCCTCGATTGGGAACAAAGAACTGGGGTGCAGGGCAGGAGGACAATCAACGCCCACCCCCAGGGCAGGAAGCAAGAGTTACTGAGAGTGAGGGGCAGACAAAGGGCAAACGGACACTACCTTAAAAGGAGATGGGGGTCAGGGTGTCAGCACCCTTGGCCACTGTACTAGTGTATTTCCATTGTGGGGGTGTTTACTGTAGGGGGGAGGAGACCAGAGGTTATAACTGTAACTGTTGTGTGAGTTCTTTAGATCAGCCTTTAGCATAGGACTGCATAGGAATGCAGTGTGCTGATCTCCAGATGTATCTGTAAGAATAATGGGTAATAAAAGGATTGTGTAAAACATGGAAACATCTCAGCGTGGTCTCTACCAGGACCAAAAGAATCACAGAGACCGGCGTTGTCTCAACAGCTTCAAAGCTAAGTTTGACTGGGAACCTCAAAGCTCAATAGCCTGCATCAACAGAAATTCACTGCAGCATGTGTAATATTTGATGCGTCATTATTTATTCCAGTCTGTCTTGCAAATACATGTTTGTGCTGCAATGTCATGCACAAACACAAACTATTAGATCCTTAAGATCAAACTTATGTCAAAATTGTTTCATTCTTTTGGTCCATTCGAGTGTGGTAAGCCATCAAATATCGCTATTGGAAACTAAGAATATTACATGTAATTGCTTGTTTTGCCAAAAATGGGTAAATGGTGTAATTTGGTAAAAAACATTAAAAACTACAATTTTCATGTGTTGAGTTTAGAATGAAAGCAATTTTACCTAAATTGCATGATTTAGTACTGTAAATAACAAGGAATCAAAAAAGGTGGTTATAATGGGTTTCAATTGGCCAAAAATGGCCACGATAGAGCCAAGAGGAACAATTTGATGTATAGTGTATATTATTGATTTACACATACAAATCTTTTTTACATACACACAAATTTGTTTTACTCATACAAATCTTTTTTACGCTCACACAAATTCTTTTTACACATACAAATCTCTTTTACGCACACACAAATTCTTTTTACACATACAAATCTTTTTTACGCACACACAAATTCTTTTTACACATACAAATCTTTTTTACACACACACAAATTCTTTTTACACATACAAATCTTTTTTACGCACACACAAATTCTTTTTACACATACAAATCCTGATTTACAAGTACAAAACTGATATACAAGTACAAAATATTTATGACCACAATTTGAGCCCATACTTATCCTATCGGTATTACGGTAGGATCAGGCCACACCCCTACATATGTTGGGTTCTCTGATTAGATTACTGCTGTCACATGACCCGACAATAGCGGAAGAAGAAGGCTCGACCGCAGAGAGAAGGTAAGGAAATAAACAAAATAAAGACGGGTCGTTTTAACGGGGAAAACTCCCGGTAGTGTTTTTACTTCCCGCACGTATACAGAGCCTGGGGCTCGCTGCTGACGGACCCGGTGTTTGGGCTCGGTTTGGACGATAGGTTTACTCAAGTGACGCGTTTTTTTTGGTCGTTCCGGTTCGTGTCGACAGAAAGCGAAAATAAGACACGAACAGATCAAACAGATACCGGATCGATAACCAGCCCAGAGGAGTGCGGCACGGGGTCAGCAGGTAACCTGAAGTGTGATGGCCCGCAGGTGGAAGCGTTCAGCTGTGTTCGTGTTTAACCGGAAACCGTAAACAGTAAACAGAAACAAAGGTTAAAGACGTCACCGTTTGCCCGGTAACGACCCAAAGTCGGCTGAATAACCTTCATGTTGCGCTCACTTTTACCTTTTTCTTGTTTCAGGCCTCAAACGGGAATTTCCAGGCAGCTGCCGTGACGTCACGACGCAACCGGTGACGCAGCGAAAAAACATTTTTTAAACTTTTATTTTTTTATATATATTATTAAGTGGCGGGAGTGTTCCAACCAGGTGCTTTTTATTTATTGATTGATTTATTACTGATATGTACAGCAGTTTAACATGATCACTTTATCAGTTATTGATTAGTTGTTTCTGCTGGATATTGATCTATTGTTTTTGCTCTTTATCGATTAGCTGTTTGTGGACTCTACACCACAGCCAGCGAATGGATGCATCTTAGAAACAACTGATCAATATAACAGCTGAACAGTGTAGATCAGAAATACCTGACCCATACAAACCACAAATAACAATCAATGGATGCCACAAATTCAGATCAGTATACACCAAAACGCCCAATCAGTATCAATGATTTGTTCGCTACTGTTTAGTACTGATGACCTGATTGTTGATTGATCAATATAAATCAGTCACAGCCAGAGTCTCTAGTGTGTATAAACTGGCTGGTTATGCTGTGTATTGATGAGTACTGATTGACAGGCCCTTAGTTTTTTAAAGTAAGACTAACATGCTTCTAAGAGAAAATAAACTCTCAGAAATGCCTCAGATTTTCAAAGTAAAGGCCCTCAGTTAGGGTTTATCATACTTTAAGTTACTAGATTTCCAAAATAAAAATCTGCTTCTTATTGTATCAGTAACAACTGCTGTCTCCTTTTTAGCTAATCTATTTACCTCCAAGTGTTTTAGCAGTAAACTCGACTGATCGGGTTGTGTTGTGTATTGATCGTTGTTTCCCTTGATGTTGATCAGTTTGTGCTGTGTCTGCAGGATCACCCGCAGCCTTCAGGATGCAGAGCACCGCCAACTACCTGTGGCTGATCTCAGACCTGCTCGGTCAGGGAGCGACGGCAAATGTTTACCGTGGACGGCACAAGGTATGTTGCCATGCCAGCCGCGAATTGTTTTTCTCTCTGGAAATACAGAAACACTCCGTGAAGATATCAAGATATTTTTATTCTGGTTTTGATCCCTTCTGTTTATGAAGAAGTAAACTATTTCAAAGTCTTTCAGCAATATTTGAGTTCAGAACTGATGGTAGACAGCAGATAGATATTGAGTGTTTCCCCTGATTGCAAAGGGGAAACATTCAGGTACGCTTACAGTTTATGGTTTAACATGTCAGAGTGAGAGGCTCATATGTTATTTTCACCTTCTCAAACCTAAAGATGTCACCTGGACACATTCCAGAAAGCAGGTTTAACAAATTCTAAACCTGAACTCTGAGTTTCGGTTCTACAAAAGCCAATCAGAGTTTGTTTTTGTCCTGAGTCACAAAATCCACAATTATCCATTATTATCCACAGTTAACGAATAACAAGTTAACATTAGTTTCTTGTTTGTAAAGACGTGAAAGCTCTCATATGAGCTTTGATTCCAACTGAAAAAGAGCCAGGCAGCTACTTCTGCATGAGGGGCGGAGTCGTTGACTTCACAGTCTTTTACCCTGGTAACCTCATCTCGGGGTGAACAAACTCAGTCTTTAGTAAAACCTGCGTTATTAATCTTCACACCGATGTTGATCTCATTTATTTGTTCCAGGTTGAATTCATTCATAAAAACTTTGTTACTGTGCAGAAAAGTTTCTCCTTTTCAGATCGGAATAATTTAATCTGATGTCGGGTTGAGTTTTGTGTCTGAGCTCAGTTTGTGCTTTAAACCCTTCACGCTGCCTTATGCCTGCAGACTACGCTGAGGGCAAATTTCTCCCATAATATTTATGGTCCTTCTTAGTTTCACCTCTTTTAAAAACAGGATTTATTTAAAAAGTGATGATTCTTGAGTGTAATGTACATGTCTGTGTGTAGAAAACCGGCGACCTATACGCTGTCAAGGTGTTCAACAACCTGAGTTTTCTGCGGCCGCTCGATGTCCAGATGAGAGAGTTCGAGGTGCTGAAGAAACTCAACCACAAGAACATCGTGAAGCTGTTCGCTGTGGAGGAGGAGGTCAGTAACTTCATGTTTTATTCTTACTGAGAATATTTAGTCCTAGCAAGTGAAAGATCCCTGATTTGATCCCAGGAGGAAACGGGAATCTTCCAGAAATAGCATGTTAGGTTAGCTAGGGCTGTTGCACATCTGGGCCCAGATGTGGCCCAGATGTACAACTGCTGGCCCACATTCGGGCCTGGCTGTTGTTGTTGATTCAGGTCGAGTCTACATGCTTTAACACAGCTTCAGGTTCATCTTATATGAGCCAGATGTCAGGTATGTTGCAACTTTTTGGCCACATCTGGCTCACACAATACCTGTGAGTCCCATAACTGAGCTGAAAGGCCCAAAAGTGTCTGACTGATGTGAGGCCGTGATAAAGAGCTCAGCTCCACTCTGCCAGACAGAAACCTCTGAAGGTTTGACCCACAACTCATACTGACTGTGAAAAAGAACCCGTCAGACAAATGAAGGCGAGCACAAGGATGAGGTATTGCCACTGTATCCTTGTGCTCGGCTTCATTTATTTGTTCAGTTGTCTAAGTTTACAGAGTTTATTCAGCTGTAAATGTGAACAATATTCAGCAGAATTTGGGAGTGTTACCTGCTCTTCATAGTTAAGTTATATTTAATTTAAAAAAGCAGAAAATATTATTTTCATTTTTCACGTTGTTGATCTTCAAAACCTTGAAAGCTGCCACTAAAGATTCCCATCATCATAAAATTGGTTTATAGCCCAAAACAAGAAGGAATATTTCCTCTAATGTAAGAGGAGGAAAAGAAGATGGAGCCTAAAAAACAGAAACAAGAGTGAAGTCCTAAATATTTAAATTGAAGACAAAAGTATAACATTTTTATGACATAAATCTGACAACAACATTCAGATTTCACATTTTTTAGTTTTTAATGTAAAGATTCAAATTTCGTGGTTATTAAAAGAGTTTTGCAGATGTTTGTTTCAGTAACTAAAACAAGTAATTTTTAGCCCTGAATTAGCCTGTCGGGCGCTTCTACCTCCTGACTCTCAGCTCCAGCTTTAGTTTCAGCTTTTAGGCTCAGTTTATGTGGTTCTTCAAAGTGAATTCAAACTAAACTAACATCTAACATGTAAAAATTGACCAAAACTGAAATTATATTTTGTAGCTGAGACATAATGTTGACATCTTTAAGGAGAGTAAAAACATCCTTCTAACGTCCTCCTCCTCCTCTCAGTCCAACACCCGTCACAAGGTCCTGGTGATGGAGTACTGTCCCTGCGGGAGTCTCTACACTGTCTTGGAGGAGTCGTCCAATGCGTATGGACTCCCCGAGGACGAGTTCCTCATTGTTCTCCATGATGTTGGTGAGGGACACATTTAACTGTGACACTCTGCGTTGGTTCCAGCCGATCAGGTTCTTTTAAATGTGAAATCTTGCTCTGAGAAGTTTCAGCAGTTAAAAGGAAATCAAACACGAGTGATCAATCTTCTCTTTAAATGTGGAAAGAAATGCATATAAATGGTTCAATATGGAGACTGCAACTCTCTCTGATTGGTTGTTGTGTCCCCTTCAGTGGCAGGTATGAACCACCTGAGAGAGTACGGCATCGTTCACCGGGACATCAAACCGGGAAACATCATGAGGGTGATCGGAGAGGACGGACGCTCCGTCTACAAGCTGACCGACTTTGGAGCAGCGAGAGAGCTGGAGGACGACGAGCAGTTTGTGTCTCTGTATGGCACTGAGGAGTACCTGGTCAGCAAAACAAACGCACGCAATGAACAGGAACTGTAGATAAAGGATGGCAGCATACACAAACATGCCAGTGAGTGATGTCACAGCTGGTGCAGCTGCTGCTGAGTAACTCTTCTTCATATGTCTCTTATGCAGCACCCTGACATGTACGAGCGCGCTGTGCTGAGAAAAGACCACCAGAAGAAGTACGGTGCCACGGTGGACCTGTGGAGCATCGGCGTCACGTTCTACCACGCCGCTACCGGCAGCCTTCCCTTCAGACCGTTCGAAGGGCCGCGCAGGAACAAAGAAGTCATGTGAGAGCTCGCTGTGACCTTTGACCCATTCTGACAGGAATTGGACTGAGCTGAAACTTACCCAGCTGTTTGTCTGCCTCAGGTATAAAATCATCACAGAAAAGCCGTCCGGGACGATCTCTGGCCATCAGAAGTGTGAGAACGGGAAGATCGAGTGGAGCACAGAGATGCCGGTGTCCTGCAGCCTGTCAAAGTATGAGACCCTCACACACCCTGATCATCACGCTCATGAACAAACATGTTGAGGGATATATGTGTGGAAATGTCTCGGCCTGTTGTTTCCTTCATGGTCACACATACAGATCATGTCTCGGGTTTTGTTTCAGGGGTCTTCAGAGCCTCCTGACCCCAGTGCTTGCCAACATCCTGGAGGCCGATCAGGAGAAATGTTGGGGCTTCGATCAGTTCTTCGCTGAGACCAACGACATCCTGCACCGAACCGTCGTTTATGTCTTCAGCCTGCAGCAGGCCACACTGCACCACGTCTACATCCATGAGTACAACACGTAAGCCTTGAGTGCCCGTGCACCTGCTTTCTCAAACAGTCTGCGCGGTGTCTGAAAGCTGCTGTTCTTCATGTGCCCACAGGGCAGCGCTGTTCCAGGAACTGTTGTGCCGCAGGACCAGCATCCCTCTGCATAATCAGGAGCTGCTTTACGAGGGCCGCCGCCTCGTCCTCGATGCCAACCGCCAGGCCAAGACTTTCCCCAAGACCTCCAGAGAAAATCCCATCATGCTCGTCAGCCGTGAGTCCGTCGCCACCGTGGGACTCATCTTTGAAGATCGTATGCACTTCCTTTTTTTTCTTCTGTCATGTTTAATAAAACCAGAATTGATGTGATGGGTTTTGTGATGGAATATGTTGGTTAGAAACTGGACCTGATTTTGTTTTCACAGCCAGTCCTCCTAAAGTTCAGCCCCGCTATGACCTCGACCTGGATGCCAGCTACGCAAAGGTACTGAACTCACATCATCTTAGCTGTGAATCTGATTGGCCCAGGAAAAAAATAGTAAAACATTGCTAGTTTATACGGCCTGTTCAATTACAGGAGCTTAGGTGTGTCAGCATAAGAAATCAGGACCACTTCAGGATGAACTCTAACCCATTAATCTTTCTCTAATTCACTCATCTGGTGACTTTTAAGAAAAAAAGTTTATTTTAAACTCTTACAAACAGATTTACAGAGTTACAAAGACTGAACTACACAGAATAATTCTGAACTATTTTTAAATAGATAGATAAATAGAGACTAGAAATGATTGCAAAGGGACTCTAAAAATAACTTATAGATCACCCCAAGACAGCTGGGATAGGCTCCAGCCTCCCCCCATGACCCTGAAAAGGATAAGTGGAAGAGGATGGATGGATGGGTACAAACTACCACAAAAAAACTTGAAGCTTTTTGCAGAGGAACCACCGTGAGCCAGTCTTTTTTCCTTCAGTCCCTCGATGCTCGCTGACCTTCCTCTTCCTGTTGTTCAGACTTTTGCAGGAGATGTCGGCCATTTGTGGAAAACTTCAGAGTCTCTGCTGCTTTATCAGGAGCTGGTGCGGAAAGGAGTTCGAGGTTTAATGTAAGTTCACATCACAAAAATCTTCTCAGATGTGGAGCTCAGTTGGTTTTCTCATGTGACGTCATTTTTCTTTGTGTCTTTACTCGTGCAGTGAGCTGATGAAGGAGGACTACAATGAGATTATGCGCAAGAAGTTGGAGGTTTTCCATCTGTGTAACTTCTGCACACAGATGTTGGAGAAGACCGAGCAGCTGTGAGTGAGGCCGTTAACCTGCACACTGCTCCTACAGATGCATCACAAACTAACAAAGCCAGCGCCTGACCCTTAGATTAGCGAGATCAATGGCCTCAGTTCTAACTTCTATAGATCCTAATGTCATATGATCAAGTTTCCACAACATAAAAATCTGTCATGTCTTAAAACAAGGAGACTCAAAACCGCTGCAGTGAACAACCGGCCCAAAGAGCCTCTTGCAGAGACTAGAAACAACGAGACTTGGAACTATCACCAAGTAGCACAAAGACTCATGTAGTTACTACCAAAAATATATATATATATTATTGCCAAGAGACTCAAAACTTAACATTATCACAAAGAGACTGAAGTCACCAAAGGGACTCAGAACAAGTATTGAAAGCATTTACTTCTGAGACTTAAAACTACTGCAAAACAAGTCCACAGAAACTTGACACTACATTTAATAGACTCTAGTAGAGCAGGGAGATACGACCAAAAATATTTATCACGATATACATTTGAAAATTTGCGATAACGATGTAACTGACGATATAATTGACACTAGACAAAATACTTAACAACTCCACAACTTTATTAGTGCAAAAAAAATCTAAAACATGTATTTTCACTTAAACAAGCAGCTGTTTTTATGTGCATTAAAGTTATATAAAAATGTAACAGCGCAAATGCAAATTCCTTGCTGACAGTTTAACCAAAAGGCATTTCCAGTGGAAATTGGCCGACATATCCTCAGCATAACCATGTATAATATCCACAAAACTTAAAAAGAGGTTATACACACACAATACTGTAATACTATGTTGAAGCACAGTACGTATCACTCTGCGAGGCTCCTGCCTACGATAGCCGCAATGCTCCGATAATCCATCAAGCGGTGCGGGTTCATAGCTTAGCAAAGTCGTACTAAAACATTTGACAGATTTTCAAAGCCCCGTCTACCACATAAAATCGTTTCGAGGTCAGTAAACACAACTAGAATTCATACATAAGGCACACGGGATTATAAGGGGCACTGTCGATTTTCAGATTTTAAGTGTGCCGTATTTTCCAAAAAACATGGTAATAACGACGGCCCGCTAGCATGCTCTACCAAAAATAGTGCTTTGTTGTGTATCTGAGGGACGAAAGCTAAACCAGTTCCACACCACTGAAGTTGCAGCATTTTTACAAACCAATTCTGGTTCATCTGTTTCATTCAACGATCTGCTTTTGCCCTTCTCATTCTGCGTCGCCATCATACTTTTTCCGCCATGTGCGTACGAAAACAAAGGCACTGCGCATGTGTGTTTTACCCATATTCTATCGCGATATTTCATTTTCTTATCATTGCTGAACATTATACCGGTGTTACCGTGAACGGTATGATATGGCCCAGCCCTAGTCTCAAGTTGTTTTTCCATCAATCTCGATATGGTCACAGTTCTTTAGATCTGTTTTTCATAATTCAGCCTTCATTAACTGTTAAAAGTGAAATGTAATGCAGTGTTTGAATAATAATAATTTCCAGAGTGTAATCCTGAAAGTTTTGTTAATAACGTGATGCTCTCGCCATGCTTCAGGTTCGAGGTGCTGATGCAGGCCAACATGCTGTCGTCAGAATACGACGAGATCTCAGACATGCACAAGAAAGTTCTCAGAGTGAGTGCTGGTGCTCTTTTCCTGTCTCTGTGCATCACATTTGTTATTCAGACATCTTTCTAACATGCTGCAGTTCTTTGTCTCTCAGACTCTCCAGATTTTTATTAGCTTGGTTCTTAAAACCGCTGAACGAGCTGAAACTCATAAATCCTCTTTTTTAATTTTATTGTAACCTGACAGTAATAATCTGAGAGAACAGCCACACTGAACTCTTGGTGGTGACTCTGATTTTGAGTTTGAGAATTGAAGAAACATTAACTTTAAATATTTTGCTCTTCATAAAAATATGTCCTGTCAAAATTATGCAAGTTAGAAATATGAACATGCTGCCAAAAAACCCAGAAAAAAATAAATGAAAGCATACACAAGGTTCGAGCCGCATGTAGACGGAGCTGGGGCATTGCTTCAGGAAAGGAACTAATAAACTGTGCGGGCCATTCAGTGTCGTACTTTCCCTTGAGTGTATCATTACACTGCAGCTCCATCTGAATCTGCACAGGTGCAGTTCAGCAAAGTCCGCTGACTTGGTTCAGCATTACTTGGCAACAGGGAAAGTGAGGCAGGTTGCACTGGTGCATTTGTGACAGCTTCACTTGAAATGCCTTCACCACATCATACATGCCCATGAACTGACAGATTTCCTTGCTGAGCTCAAAAACTCTATTGAGAATTTTTATCCCATCTCAGCCAACGGACCTCTGTATGATAAGGAATGTCGGCAAACTCTGAATCTATTTCCCACATAAAAGACTGAAATTGACGGTGATTTAAACTTTTAGCTCAGATAAAATTTATGGTTTGCGTTACGGTGATCATTACATGCTTCATTTTTAGGACTTTACCACACAGCCTTTCCTGGTGTGTGATGCAGTGATATGCTGTTAACTCATCGGTACAGTTCTCCACCTGCATCTTTACTCTCATCCTGCCGACTAGTCCACTTTTTTCACCGCACAACACCTGTGCTCCATCTGTTGTAAGTCCAACAAGTTTGTCCCAGGGCAGTTTCATGTCGGTTACACTTTTACATACGGTTACATACGTTTTAAAAAATGTCTTTCCCTGTCGTTGTCCCGTGCATCGATTTAATGTTCAGTATTTCCTCTCCACGGATGAAGATGGCCAGCTGTGCAATGTCCACAGCATGAGAGTATGCAATAAAGTTTTTGCTTCTTTCACACAACTGTGTTCTTAAATCAGTGGCCATCTCACAAACCCGATCAGCAATCGTATTTGTGCTCAGGCTCACATTTGCCAAAATCTGCGTTTTGTCTGGACACAAGACGTCGCACAGCTTCATCATGGAGCTCTTCAGAGTGGTACCAGGCTGATTTGGCTCCTCTGCTACAATAAAACTTGCTTTCACAACAGCTTCACTTTGTGATTTTGCTCTGGTGAAAAAAGTCTGCTGAAATGTCAGATTCTTCTTTAGCTCTTCTACTTTCTGTAGTTTCTGCTCTGCATTTAGGTTTTTCAGCTTATCCTGACATTTTGTCTCGTAGTGCCGTCTTAAATTAAATTCTTTAATTGGGGCGACCGTGGCTCAGGGGGTTGGGAAGCGTATCTGTAACCGGAAGGTTGCCGGTTCGATCCCTCTCTGTCCTGGTCGTTGTGTCCTTGGGCAAGACACTTTACCCTACTGGCTACTGGTGTTGGCCGATGGCGCGATATGGTAGCCTCGCTTCTGTCAGTCTGCCTAGCTGTGGCTACAACCGTAGCTTGCCTCCACCACTGTGTGAATGCATGAATGAATAGTGGCATTGTAAAGCAGTTTGGGTGCCTTGAAAAGCGCTATATAAATCCAATCCATTATTATTATTAATTACAGCCACATTAGCGCCACTAATAAGACACACAGGTTTACCAGCATGTCTGTAAACATATATTCAGTCTCCCACTGGCGCTGAAAGGCTCTGCTTTCAGAATCAACTTTTCTCTCCACGATTGTGCGCGGCTAGCTTCGCAATAACAGAAGTTTGACTTGATTGACGTGGGAATGTTCCCAGTTAGCCTAGCCTTCACCAAGGATGCTGCAGCGCTGCATTATGGGATCTGTAGTTTGTATATTATTAGCGCCTCATATCGCTGGGCCATGCATAACAATAATAGTACATCTATATAAAATGATCTCACGGGCTGGATATAAATGTACGCCGGGCCGGATGTGGCCCGCGGGCCTTGACTTTGACACATGTGGTTTAAAAGGTCAAACTTAACAGCTGAGTAGGACTATAAGAAAAATGCTTAGTTGTTTTGTGACACTGACTCTCAGAAACACTTGAGTTAAGAATTTTTGGTCACGTGCTCACTTTAAAAACCTCCAGTATCACCATACATATGATTTCATTAGAGTCTGAGGTTGTCTGTTAATTACGGTGCAGTCGTCTCACTGTGCCTCATTTCTTTCAACTGTTTTTAAAATGTTGGTGATTTTTCTTTGTTTCGTCCTGACGTAATGTTTCTGTGCAGATCTCCGGCTCTCTGGAGCCCATCGAACGTACAACACAAGACGTCAAGAGTAAATTTCTGCCTGGAGGCCTTCTGACCGACACTTGGACGCAGCAAGTTGGGACGCACCCTGAGGACAGGAAGTAAGTTTGAAAGAACAGGAAATAATAATGCAAAAGTGATGTGTGGTGATGCAGTGCGTGACGCTGGGCTTTTTCTCTGCAGTGTGGAGAAGATCAAAGTGCTGCTGGACGCCATCACCGCCATCTACCAGCAGTTCAAGAAGGACAAAGCAGAGAGACGTGAGTTCACAAACACGGCTGCAGATTCAGCTGTTTATCTGTGGAGGAAGAGTCATCGTTAAATCACGTTTCATTTAGAACCAGCTTCACCTACAGTCTGCATCAGGGTCAAAACTTCTGTTGGTCTAAGGAGATTTATTGATGAGGCTCAGAGACAGAAAGCCTGCACACAGTTAGCTTCACGGCTGGTCCAACAGCACATGTATTTGTAGGAGTTTCCTTTTCAGAGCACCTAATAATTTTGGAAGATTATTTAAAGAAAACATAAAAACATGATTTACTAAGTTTTACAGCACACACTTTACTGCAGATTGTACCATATCAGCAGCTTTTATTTCATGCCCGAGGTTGCTATGTGGCTGTTCATTTCTTCACAATTTGCACAATACCTGTGGTGTACTGCAAGGCTCAATTTTGGGTTCCATTTTATTTTCTATTTATTTGCTTTCGTCTTCCATTGCTATGCAATGACACTCAGATTTACCTTCACAACCTCGCTGCTGTATTAAACTCTTTAAATGTCAGATGTTACGAAATATTCTGCACCTGCATAACAGAAAATCAGAAATCATTTCTATTTCTTTCTTGAACAAAACAAACAAACTGAAACAAAAGTGATCCTCCATCAGCCGGAGTTTAAGATGTGGGATATGTGCAGCTCTCCTTTGTTGTCATTGTTGAGCTGTTCTTTTCCGTTTACTGACAGCACACTTACAGTCTTTTGTTTAATAAAACTTTTTGTTTGCTGTTGAGGTTTACCAACAGTTATGATGACACGACACTGTCACGCTGTGCTTAAAGCAAATGAACTGAAGGTTTTAGTTAATTTAAGACAATTTTAAAATCTTTTAAACCGAGAGCATGTCGCTGTCGCGGGAGTAAAAGTGAAACTTTAAATGGTTTGGTTTAATTTCTTCTGTTCAGGTCTGCCGTACAATGAGGAGCAGATCCACAAGTTTGACAAGTAAGTTCCGGTATTGTCAGCTATGTGGATGTCCTCCGTCAGGCTCCGCCTTCTTTCTGATGCCATGTTTTTGTTTCTCTCCTGCAGACAGAAGTTGGTCCTTCACGCGAGTAAGGCCAGGACTCTGTTCACAGACGAGTGCGCAATGAAGTACCGTCTTTTTATCTCCAAGAGCGAGGAGTGGATGAGGTAATGACAGGCAAGCGGGCAGCTGGGTCGTGACCCGAGCTCCTCTCGGCTTGAGTGTTGACATTTCTCTGTTTTTTTGTTTTTTCAGGAAAGTTCATCATGTGAGGAAGCAGCTGCTAAACCTGTCCAGTCAGCTGATCAGCATCGAGAAGGAGGTGACCATGCTGATGGAGAGAGCGATCAAGGTAAACATTAAAGCGATTTCAGGTGCTGGGCGGCTGACGCACGCGAAATCTGTCATCATAACTAAACACATTCGTTTACGGCCAGTTTCCCAGAATGAAGTCTGGAAGTGACAGAAACACGTGTCTGTTTGTTTGTCTTCCAGCTGCAGGAACAGCTGCCACAGAAAGTTCTTCCTCTGGTGTCCAGTGGCATGAAGCCTCAGGCCTACCTGAGCCAGAACACGCTGGTGGAGATGACTCTGGGGTTTGTTTGTTTCCTCTCTATTGTCGCATCGTGTTGAGTTCCATCTGACGCAGCCGTGAGTGCTGACTCAGTGCTTCTGTGTTTCAGGATGAAGAAGCTGAAGGAGGAGATGGAGGGAGTGGTCAAAGAGTTGGCAGAAAACAACCATTTCTTAGAGAGGTCAGACTTTTCTGTTTTTAATTTAAGACTATGGTAAATCAGCTGCAGGTTCTGTTTCTATTGTTTGTTTTAAAATGTTAAAAGTACGCAGACCGCTCGGAAACAGACGCAGGTTTGATGTTTATGGTTCTGAATTTATTGACTGAATGTTTTCTCTAAACCAGGGATATCAAATTTATTTTACACCGTAGCCCACATACAGCCCAGTCTGAGCCAAACCAGTGATATCTTAATATAAGATAAAGAAGTGCAGTGCAGACTGTCCTACAGTTATAAATCTGTCAGTTCTCAAAACCATTCCATTTAATGTCTTTTGTATTTGTTTATTTATTTTTATTGTGAACCCAATATAAAATCTGTAACATTCTGTAATTTAATTGTTTACCTGTTACTTATTTATTTCAATGTAGTATAGTATAGAGCTCCCATTGGGGAGTTCCTCACCATCAGCAAAAGCTGTAAAACTAAAATAAAGTTAAAAGTCCAAATTTCATGCCCTCCTTTTTATTTCTGAAGTCATGCAGTTGGCTAGTTGGAGTCTTTGGTCGGCCGATGTTTGACATAACTTTGATTTCTGTTTAATCAGCTCATGTAAAATTTAGACCTAAAAGATGCTTATGAGCGTGCCTCTGAATAATATGGACCAGTGTCAACTCCCTAACAAAACAATAAGGACAAAAATGAGCTGATCAGTGACCCCTAAAATACAGTAAAGTTTATTCTAAAAGAATTTGATTTTTAAAATCAAGTTGTCACACTTAGTACTACCAGTAATACCAGTACTCTAATGGTTGTCAAACCACAACTTTATTGATACATACTGAAGTGTCAACACTCATGATTAGGGTGTTTATGGGAAAAAAGTGAACATTATACAGATTATACATTATCCTCCTAAAGTTCCATTAAAATTAGATAATTATAATGTTAGTATATTTAATGAAGCAAATAAAAATCTTACCTTCAACTAAAACAGTTTCAAATGTGGCCAACTTATTTTTTTTCTGCATTTTAAAGTTCAGCAGGTTTCTACTTCATATTTTCAGAGCTGAAAAACACAAAAGTTCAGTTTAAAAACAGCAACCAAACCCACAGGAAGTACAGAGGTGGGGGTCATTTTGACCTGGATTTATGAACACTGACAATCAACACGTGAACACTTTCTTAGAAACAGAATAAAAATGTTTTTGTTTGCCTGAGCCAGCTTCTGAAAACCTACCTTCAGGTTCTTGTTTCACTTTCTTTTATTTTAACTTTAGTGTGATTATTTTGGCACAAATGTGACTCGGTCTGTATCACCTCTGCAGGTTTGGCACTCTGACACTGGATGGGGGCCTGAGAGGATGAGTGGAGTCGTGTGTTGCTGCAGTTTGTACATATTCTGTGTGTTTACTGTGTAAATAACGTCGGACTGTTGAAGACAAAGCTTTTTGTATGAGTCTCTGGAAACTCTGGCTCAATTGCTTCAGTGGCTTTAAAAGAAAAAGATCGGAGAGGTTTTCAGCTAAGGATCAGCGAAGGAATGCAGAGCAGCTTCATCCAATCACATCGCAAAGAGACCCTGAAACACCTTTGAGTATTTAGGCGGACACAGCCGGGAACAACAGGTTTAGGGAGGGTTTATGTCACATTTGGAGTCAAATACTTTCGGCTGCAGGTGTTATTGGAAATGATGAATGGATTAAAGATCACCACAGGTGTGTTTACGTTGTTCTGTAGTTTTTCACCTGAAGTGGAATATTTAAGAGAACAGTTTTAATGGATTAAATGTTAATGGTTTAATGGGTAAAAAATAAATAAAACAAACGTTAACTTCAGTGTCTAAGGAGTATTTACTGGACCTTCTTTCAGCAACAGGCTCTGATTAATCTGATTTTACTCTGTAAAAACTTTAAAGCATGAGCAGAGTTTGAGATGCTTTGATATAGAAGTTTTAGGTTCTAATTAATATCAGGTAGAAAACATTTAAATCTCTGACTGATGATTCAGATGAAGCTGTTTCCTGCTTTTTGGGGCAAATTAGGCTAACATTATGCAGAGTATATTATGGGGTATTTAATATTTTTCCAGCTGGATTAAGGAACATTTAAGGGTTTGAATCTGTGGAAAAATACAAAATGGCATTAAGTTTGCAATTAAAATAATTTTTAAAGCGTTAACTTCTGAAATGTTCAACTTGATCTGAGTTTTTTTAGAGGATTGTGTATTAAATTAGTTTTTTTTCCTTTGTTAAGTGTCATCAAATGTATTTATTTCCCTCTAAGTTGCATTAAAGTACTGTATTTATGGGGAAAGCTGGTGTCCTTTTAAAGGCACTGAATTTTATCGGACTGTGGATTGAACAGAATATTTCTATTTCTATTTTTTTTCTCATATGTTAGTCTCTCTTTGTCATACCTCTATCCTTCAGCTGGTCGTCCTTTTCGCTATCTTTGTTTTATTTCTTGTCCATAATTAAAACGCCAAGTGACTGTTTAAATGACCTGTAAATACGCCATTCAATCAATCAATCAATAAATAAACTGATCAGGCATGAAGCTGTGTCAGCGTGACCTGTTGAACAGTTTCAGATTAAGAGTTGTTTCACACAAACTGCTCCAAAAAAGTGTTTGAGGGCAACCCCATCACAGCTCACCAGACCTTCCAGTCATGTGCTGGATTCTGTTTATCATTAATCACTTTACAACCTTCAAAGTAAAGATACTAAAAACATGCTGCTCTGATCTCCACCCAACAGCAGGTTTTCAGTTATTAAATACAAGACTGAAGGCAGAGACCCACAAACACGCAGCAGCGCGAGGTGGATGCAGTAAAGGCCTGAAGAGGAGGAAACACGTGATGCCTGTGGTTTCTAGACTTCAGGCAGATGCTGATTGCAGATATTAAAATGTGAGACTGTATAAATGTCTGCAATTCCTAGACAGTTAAAGCAACACTTGTTTTGAAGCCTAAACTAAAGGTGAAAGTTTACACCTCAAACACATCTCCATAGTTTAATTCAAAACCCACTGAGGTGGTGTACCAAAGCAAAGCTGCAAAAGAGCTGTCTTTATCCAGAAACACATAGTCCTCCCTGTAATCTTTATCACAGCTTTAAGAATGAAGCTTAAAATAATAAAGAAATAATGTCATTCCCTGTCAACCTTTCCAAGCTTTAAGACATTGCTTTAATTACAAAAGGATTATTAGTTATTATTTATTTTAAGCTTGTGCTAATGCTTTTTAACTAAAAATTCAGTGTACCGCTGACCTGATAGGTTAATTTGAATTTTCAAACGTATTACGTGTAGCCACACGTGCGCACAATGGACCAATTAGCGATGTAGTGGCACCAGCGGTGGGCTATAAAGGGGCATCTCCGCAGTACACCGCATAACGTTCCTTTCACAAACCAAGATGGCCAGAACGAAGCAAACCGCCCGTAAATCCACCGGAGGAAAGGCTCCCAGGAAGCAGCTCGCTACCAAAGCTGCTCGTAAGAGTGCCCCGGCCACTGGCGGTGTGAAGAAGCCTCACCGCTACAGGCCCGGTACCGTGGCTCTGAGGGAGATCCGCCGTTACCAGAAATCAACCGAGCTGCTCATCCGCAAGCTTCCCTTCCAACGCCTGGTCCGTGAGATCGCGCAGGACTTCAAGACCGACCTGCGCTTCCAGAGCTCTGCCGTTATGGCTCTGCAAGAGGCCAGCGAGGCTTACCTGGTCGGTCTTTTCGAGGACACAAACCTGTGCGCCATCCATGCCAAGCGGGTCACCATCATGCCCAAAGACATCCAGCTGGCTCGCCGCATCCGCGGGGAGAGGGCTTAAGTTGATATGAGACCAGTTTATGTACAACAACGGCTCTTTTAAGAGCCACACACACATCGGAAGAGCTTAGTTCATCTTTAATGTCATAAGCCCAAATTTGGTTTACTCCTACTAAAATAAATTATCATGAATGTAACAATAACTAACGTGTTGAGCACCAGATGTTTTGATCTGACCAGTTCATTGAACAGGCACAGTACAACGGGCGTTCTGTAAGGTGGGTTTTTTTTTTTTTTTTTAAAATAAAAAAGCCCATCAACCCTGATGATAATGATGGGATTTCCGGCTCTTTCTAGAGAACCAGCTCTTCAGGTTGTTCTGTTGCTTTAATTTATTAACCATAATATAAAATTATGTACAAAAGGAATTACTAATGTAAAAAAAAACAACAACGTGGTTTTATATATGTTTATATATAAATATATGCGGTGGCCCCTATGACAAAGCACGTACAAATTCCAAAACACATTTCTAGTGTTAACTGAACTTTTAAAACAGAGCTACCTAGATCACTTAAATTACACAATTGAAAGCATATGTGTATTGTTTGTGTATTTATACACAAGCACTCATATATATTCAAATAATTTAAAAAAATGTTAATTTACCTGTTAATACCACACACCAAATCCAGTCGTTGGTACTTCCTGGCTTGTGTAGCCACTAAGTAACAAAAGCTCAACACTGCCCCTAGCATCCTGGAGCACTTCTGTTGTGTTTTGTACGTGCTTCAGGATTTGTACATGTTTTGAAGTTTGTATGTGCTTTGTCTCTAGGAGCCACCATAAATATACTTTTATTTATTCACTCCACATAAAATGTAATAAGTCATACAAAAACCAACTATTTACATTTCAACTTTTAACTATTTAAATTTTCAGCTTTTTTCCTTTTAAACAAATGTAAAGTGAAACAACACAAAACACTGCAAACCACAACACAATTAAATATAAATTAAAATATGAAAACAAAAAGAAGATGCATATTCTCTGTCATATGGGCCTACATGAATAAACTTTCTGAATCCTTTATCATCCACAACTGAAAATAGTTGTGGATGATTACTGTACCTTTCTAATGTGACGTTGTTGTCCCTGGCTCTCTTTCTCTCTCTTTTCCTCTGGCTCTGTTCATGTGCTACTGCGAGTGTAACAACCGCCTCTCTCCCCTCTTCCCAGCGCAAAGCACAAGGCTTGCGTGCGGAGTGAAGCCGAAAAAAAGTGCGAGAGAAGGTGAGAGAAAGAAAGAAAAAAAACCACGGCTCCCAATAAGGAGCCGGCTCTAAGAGCCATTTTGTTCGCAACCGACACATCACTACTGATGAGAGCTCCCGCACACTCTTGACTTTTCTGCAGCACAACTACATCTCTTGAAGGAAAAACTGCATAAAGTCAACCTCTAACGATCGTTACAATATGATTATGCATGCGATCACATCCCCAGTAGGATTTGCAGAAGACGTTCAATTTCAAAACAGAAAATTTCACAAAGTCGTAACAACTTAAACTTTAAGATTCTAATTATAATCTGAGTATGAATCATATAACAGCATCTTTGTTTCTTAGCTTTCTATTGCACGGTCTTGTGTCTGTATCGTTTTGGTCCTCTGTCTGTTTGTTTCGTTGCAGTTTTTCCACACATGCATTTATGTGGTCCTGTGTCTGTTATATGCCAAATGCAACACCATATTTTTTTTTTTTTGTATTTTTCCCCCCACTTGTGGTCCCCTTGGATCGATGGCACCTTTAGCATTTGCCTATACTGCCTATGCCACAGTCAGGCTCTGCTGTGTCCTTCGCATCCAGCTTTTCTAGCTATGACTAAAGAGGAATTTCCATCAAAGTTATCTTCAATCTGATTCCTAATTTGAAGGCTCTGTAGCCACCTTTCCCTTTCTATCTGCCTTTATATAATGCAACTATTGTAGTAAGTGCTGTGCATAAGATGGATGAGTTGTACAGGAAGTAGGTAGGAATGATTTCTTGAGGTGTTCAGAGGTGAATTTTGGCAATCCCAGTCTCTCACTAAACCCACTCCTATGACTGGTCAGCACATGATGGAGTTGGTCGGAGGTATCGTGCAGCATTTTACTTATCTTAGACAAAAATCTGTGTTTACACATTTTTCAGTTGGCGAAAGAAAGCAGAATCCTCCTGAACGGCTGGAGGATTCCAAGCCCAAGAAAGTCGGCCCCAGCGTGGGCGAGTTGATTGTGAAAACCGTGGTCGCTTCCAAGGAGCACAGCGGCGTGTCTGCAGCTGCTCTCAAGAAGGCTCTGGGTGCCGGAGGCTACGATGTGGACAAGAACAAGGCCTGCGTCAAGACTGCCATTGAGAGCCTGGTGGCGAAGGGCACTCTGGTGCAGACCAAGGGCACCGGGGCCTCCGGATCCTTCAAGATGAACAAGAAGGCTACTGAGAGCAAAGCCAAGAAAGCCGCTCCCAAAGCCCGCCGCGGCCAAAGCCAAGAAACCAGCAGCAGCTGCCAAAAAGCCCAAGAAGGCAGTAGCAGCCAAGAAGCCCGCAGACGCTAAGAAGTTGCCCAAGAAGGCCAAGAAGCCCGCAGCGGCGGACACAGCAGCCAAGAAGAAGTGAGCTGCCACCACTCTCACACTCAACAACGGCTCTTCTCAGAGCCACCACAGCAATACACAAGAGCCCCTTCCTCACACTCACTCACCACCAGGGGCGGACTGGCCATCTGTGGATTCTGGAGAATCACAGAACGGCCGGTACTCCGGGAAGGCCCGCCCACCACTCTCCATGCATGCTTTCAACACCTATTTTTTTCCCACTGCACCTCTAAGTTGAATGCCAGCTGCATTGGCTGTGGCCGCCAGGCAAGGAGTAGAAGAAGTGGAGTAGGAGGCAAAGACGATGGAAAGAAACGATGCAAAACGCAGCTGCAAGTAAAAAAAGGAAAGAAATTTGCAGTCTGAGTTAAAGTGTCTGGCAGCTCAGTGGCCACGGCTTAAAATGTCTGCACTTGAAGAGTACAAGGTCAGGATGGTAGGGGTTGGCTGTGATGATGACGAAGAAGAGAACACAGATGTACTAAACAAACAGTGCAAATCTTGCAAGGAATGCCCAGTCTGTTGTTATCAGATTCTGAAACGATACAACCTCTTCACAGATGCTTATCATATTCTTGGCTGGGGATACAGGTACCTCCTTACTCTGCCTGTGACACAGGTAGCGTGTGAGAGAAGTTTCTCTGTTCTCAAACACATAAAAAGTAGAATAAGAAGCACACGGTCGCAAGAACACCTGGAAGCATTCATGCTTATGACTACAGAGAAAGACATCCTCATGTCCCTTGACAATGACTTGGTCATAGACAGAGTTGCAGAAAAAAGCGACCTGTTGAAGAAAATACTTATCCCCCAACATTGAGTAAGGTGAGTATTCAAGTTAACCTGCATACTAAAACCTCTTTACTTTGTGATTTATCATAACTCATACAGTACTATGTGTTGTGTGTTTCCAATAAACATTTTGTATTGGTTCAGCCAGAGGGACTGCAGTATGTTGAGACCTCCATTACTATGTGAGTATTCAAGTTAATCTAGAATAATATACTTTTAATACAACATCTAGTCAACATCAGCACTGTTGCTATAATTTTGATGGTTTGATAGCATAAGCCACTATTAAAGTCTTGTAACACAAATGCCAAGCATTATTGTTGCCGAGTTTCCGCACGCCAATTACTTTGGGCTGAGTACAGTCAAATTCCAGGGCTGTTTTTTAGTCCCAGTCCATCCCTGCTCACCACTCTATCATTCATAATGTCCTTATTATTAAAGCACACACTCCCCCCATTTTTCTCATTACATTTACAACTTGTATTAGTATCATGGTGCACATTAGTTCTGTCTTCACAAGTCTACAACTCCAGAAAAAGACAACAATACAAATGCTAACTCAATATTTACAATCATACCTTCATAGTACAAGACATCACACCACTTCTTGTTTTACTATGAAACACTATCATACAAGAAATACACCTTTAAAAGTTATCACCTACATTTTAAAATATTCTATTAAAAAACAACAAATTTGACAGAAAATATTACATTTATAGATGCATGTTATTATCTATATATGAGATATGTTTCACTTATTTATTTTTGAAAGCCTACACTGGCTGTTTTAGTGGAAGTACAATGTATAGTTTATTGATACCTAGCCAATATAATCCACTTGAAATGCTTTACTCTACAACCTTACCTGACTAAATCTAGGCCAGCTGAATTGATATTCGGTGATTTTAAGGACACACATTTTACTCCAAGCTGAACCCATACAGCGATTTATTTTTACCATGTATTTATTTCATTACTAATTTCATAACCAATTTGATTCGTGTACATTTGAACAAATTGAGTTCTGTAGGGTTAAGGATGCAGGGAAATCCATTATTTCAAAATAAAGTGTTGAGGTTTACTTCTTCTTGACCTCACCGATCCTTTTGATATCCCAGCTGAAGAAGAGTCCGGGGCTGCCCTGTGTCCCCCTCCTCAGTAGTTTTCCACTAATTCTATTGTTCAGTCGGGAGGGGGGGGGGGGGCTGTCCTCTCCCCAGGCTAGTAACTGTGTAACTCATTTTACGACAGGCAGACCCCCACTGTCAATAAATTCACGCCAAAGTTTTATAGATAAATCCACTGATTTGGCACGTTAGAGGTCAGGGTTCAGCAACTCAATGTCATTCTTGAGAGCTTTAAGGTCGCATGAAATGCTTTGAGCATACAAATCCACTATTGTCCTTAAAACAGAGGTTGACAAGGTCATTCTAACAAAATCAACACTTACGAATCATTTCCTATTGTTCTGATCTCCAGCTGCCCCCTATTATCTAAGCAAACCTAAGTACATTGTATTGTAATCATTGTTTTATTGTACTCACAATAGAAACAAAAACCTAAGCGTAGACGTAAGTGACTTTGCAAAATGTCCCAAATTCAGCAGCAGTGCTGAACATGTTGCAAACAGCTCCATATTTTCCTCCCTCTGTACCTGGATAGTTCCTGCAACACCAAAGAACTCTACCTGTCCCTCTCCTCATGTTCTGTGTTATGATTTACTATTGCGTTTCCATGAGCTTAGGATCTGCTTTAATTATCAAGCGAGTGAACCATGATGCATGTTTACAGTCATAGTTAGGCTATCACTAATGATTAGCTTCAAATTGACCCCAAATTATTAAGCTATAGGAGCACACTGAGGTTGAACAAGGCGCAGGCCTTAATCACACAGTGAGAGACACTGCACATTTCTCTTTTAGTTTTATTTTTGGATGTAATGTTAAAATCTTTGAGCTTTAATTTTTTTATTCTTGCCTGACAAAGCAAACTGACAGTTTCAGTTAAAAATAGCAGTTTAATGTGCACTTCAGTCCCTTACTGTGAAAGATGGCATTTATTAATATACATTTCAAAATAAATAAAGGTGCATCTCTGCTAAGTTTCCAAGTACTCAAGTTGTTAATGACATCAAGAAGGAGGGAGGTTTGCACACAGAGAAGTGTGTGGCTCTTAAAAGAGCCTTTGTTTTTGTTGAAGCAGGGCGCTTTGCGTTTACTTGGCCTTGGCGGGCTTCTCTGTCTTCTTGGGCAACAGCACGGCCTGGATGTTGGGCAGCACACCACCCTGAGCGATGGTGACTCCCCCCAGGAGCTTGTTGAGCTCCTCGTCGTTGCGCACAGCCAGCTGCAGGTGACGTGGGATGATGCGAGTCTTCTTGTTGTCGCGGGCTGCATTGCCCGCCAGCTCTAGAATTTCAGCAGTCAGATACTCGAGCACAGCTGCCAGGTAAACGGGGGCACCGGCTCCCACACGCTCCGCATAGTTGCCTTTGCGCAGCAGTCTGTGGACACGACCCACGGGGAACTGGAGCCCGGCACGGGATGAACGGGTCTTGGCCTTAGCTCTCGCTTTGCCTCCGGTTTTTCCGCGACCACTCATTTTGACAGGTTCTTCTCTTCGTAGTATCGGCACTCAAAGGAAATGTGGCTCAATCGTCTCAAAGCCTCGCTTATATTTCCGCAGAGCGCGCGCAGCTTCGTCACGCACCAATCGCAGAGAGGCTTGCGGCAGCGCGCAATTTCAATGCACTTTTCTCCAATGAGCAGCACACACCGAGGCGGGGCGGTGCTCCTCTGAACGGTGCTGAGCACCACGTGGAGCCCCTCACCAATCACGAGCCGAAGCGGCACCGCGTCACAGCCAGGCACACACTTTAACAGCAGCGAGTCTCCTC